TTTTTAAAGATGCAGCATCTGTTGTTCCTTCCTTCACTCAGTGGATGAACTCCAGCCATCAGGGGTCGTTCTAACGTCCACCTGCTGCCCCCTGCTGGATTCAGCGCACTGCAGCGGTGGGCGGAGTCAGTTCCACTGGCCAATCACAGCGGACCTCTAGCGTTACCAGGGAAACCGCGTACAGGGCTGGGTGACGGAGGGAGCAGTAGCTAACGGCTAACGGGCTAACGGGCACCAGAGCCAACAGCGGCCGTTAAATATTTAAAATCCTCTTCTACGACAAATATTAAAAATTAAAGCCGCCGTTCGGCCCGCGGTGCTCGGCCAGCCTCCGCTGTGTGGCGGCTCCGGGCTACATGGCAGCGGCTTGTTAGCAGCTTAGCATGCTAACCGGAGAGCTAATCTGAGAATCATCCGGACCAGCGACCCTCCGGAACACCGCCCGGTCCGCCGCCTGCAGCCCGCCGCTCTGCTCTCCGGCCGTGATGGATGTGAGCTAACAGCCGGGCCGGGACGCTGTGCCCCGGATCCGTGGGTGTCTGCTCTCCAGTCGAGCCCCGCAAGTCTCCCGGGGGCCGGGGCGCGGCAGAGCTCCAAGCCGCCGCACAAGCCCAGACTCCGCGAGAAGATGAGGTGCGGAGGACCGGAGGGCCGAGCCGCATCCCGGGACCCGTTAACCAGCGTTAACCAGGTGAGCTACCGCCGAACCGAGCAGGACCGGCTCTACAGAACGTTAGCTGATGCTAACACACGGCTAACCAGTTCTGCACCAGTAACCTACACAACACCTGCAGTGACTGATCAATGAGCTGTTGGTGAACCAGCAGCTGATGATCGATGAACCAGTTTGAGTGTTTATTGAAACAGGCTGAACTCGGAGTTCAGTTCTTCAGTGAATCTTTTCTGGTTCTGTGCTCTTTGACACAAACGGAACATCTTTGGACCAAACTCTGGTTCACGACCAAACAGCTGATTGATCCAGAAAATAATCACTGATCAATCACAGTGTAAATAATCGATAGTTGCAGCTGAGTTTGAGTTTCAACTATCGATTATTCTATTGAACTGTAAGACCAAACCAGCAGATGGACCGATGAAGAACATGATCAGAACCTTCAGCTCAGACAGACAATATGTTGAATTGATTATCAGGTTCTGATCAGTGGATGATTGATGGTTCTGTTCTGACCCGCACTCAGGTGATGCTGCAGAAGAAGCATAGTAACAGAAACAACTCCTGATGATTAATCGACTCATGTTTTCAGATAATGATTAATGATTATTTAACCTGTTGCTTGATCTGTGATTATTTTCTGCATTAATCAATCAGCTGTTGGATCAGAGTTTCCTCCAACGTTTAGTCCAGAGACGTTCAGTTTGGTGTCACAGAGGAAAGAAACCTGAAAACATTCACACTGAAGAAGCTGAACCCACAGAATTAAACTGTTTGTATGAAAATACTCAGACTGATTCATCGGTTATTAATATATCTGGTGATTAATAGTCAACAACTAATTGAACAACAGTTTTATTGTTATTTACTGTTGAAAGAACAAACAGATGTGGTCTATAGGTGTGATGCTGTGGTCTGTATGTGTGATGCTGTGGTCTGTA